GGAGGGGTAACATGACACACAGACGTTTTTTACCATCTTCTGAATGGTAAACTCTTTTGATTTACTCTTGTCTAGAGTGTAACATTTTTTGGGTTACACTCTTTGAAAGGGTAAATCTTTAACGGAACCCTTTTTAGGGAGTAACGCATCATCTACTCTGTGCTTTACCCTCCTACAGAGAGTATATTCTTATGGCCTACCCTTTGTCACATGGTAATGTTTACTCTTTCCTTTAGTGTAAACCCCCCAGAGGATGGTAACAGACCCACAGACGCTTCCTTCAGAAGCTTCACGAAGCTTCTGTTAACCGGAGCTCACCAGCTAAAAAAAAAAAAATGTTTCAAGAGCAACAATGTAGGTATATTTGGCTTCCGTACAAACAATACGAGGGGCACAGCAACCATGAACATTGTGAGACTCTTCACTTATTCATACAAATTTATAGAAAGCGTTCAGCAATGCACAAGCGGTAAATAAACACCACGATACAACTTGAATGCAATTTGAATATGAATACAAGACATTCAGCGCCCTCATATTGGATTAGGCAGAGCGCACAATATTTGAAGTGAGCGACGGCGTTCCTGGGTGGTCGCCCGTCTGCGTGAGATAATGAGACTGGATCACTACAGTGCAAGGCTTTTTCAAAGTCACCAACAAAATGCATAAACTTGTAGCATCACAACAAAATTAATGTACGTACTCACAACACTAGGCCACGTGGCCGTGCACGGGGTCCTGTTAACCAGGTCAAATTAGCACCACTCAACGGCACGCAATGCTCTAGCACATCGGTACTTACAATAAAATGTCCACAGAGGCTCTATAGGCGATGAACAACACACAAGCACAATCACCAACGGCCACGCCGCGCGGCACCGACACTGCTCACATCCGCTCTCGGAGACCAACGGCCGAAAACTGACAGATGCGCGCGGCCTTCAAACCGCAAACGGCCGATCTCGTTTCTGATTGGCTGATTGTTTCCATTTCAAATATCATCTTCACGAGGGTAAACAAGATCCACGCATGAAACGACTATCTGTACCCGAGTCACGATACCCAGGAGGAAAGAGTTTTCGTGATGTTCTGGATCGCGAGAGTAATATTGATATTTACATGGTAATAATACTCTTCGCTGGCGAATAAGTTCATATTAACCACGTACCGTTACTATGCACATAATGGTAGCAGCGAGTTACCCTTTCAATATACTATTATCTTGCGGGTTTGATGAAAATGAACTCTCCAGGAGGTAGTAAAAAGTTTTGAGTGTGGCGTCGATAAACCGCTTCCCAATCAACTTTTGGTTCCACGTTCGCCGAATTTCACTGTTATCTGACATTGACCGATGGAACTTATTGATGTTCACACACTATTTTAAGTACCGACAGCGCGCTGTGCAGGCCAAAAATGCGCCTCAAAAGGCCATCCCTGATGCGGCACAATAACTGCTGGCGATTATCCACGACGGGACGCGACGGTCGAACAGTGAGGAATGCATATCTCACCCGGCGTCGCGGTAAAAATGCTGTGACTGCGCCGCGGCGGGCGGCCGGCGCGGTGGCGGCGTCTGACGGCCCCGGACCAGGCTCCCTACGGCAGTGGGGCTGCTGAGAGGGAGTCGATCTCCGACTTACCACTTTTCCGTAGCACCTGCCCTGTGCGTATATGGTGTGGCGACTACTTTATTTCAGCACCTCCTCCTATATTCGAAGCACAGCGGCTGCTCCTTTCAGCCACTAATTCTCATATCATGCCTCTGTTGCTGGCGCTTCGTGACCAGCTGCTCCGTCGCGGGGGGGGGGGGGATTTCTGACTTCATTTAGTCTGTCTGATGGAGCTGACCATGTGAGGGAGCCTTCGCCTCCTCCCGTCTGTGATAACCACCGGTTCTACTGTCGGTCTGAGTGAACCCGTCTGCTCAGCCGACGAAAACTTATGGCCGCACTCCAAATATGCGAACACCGGCTCACTTTTGTCCTCGACTGCTGTCTTCCGGTGGTGCAGGCTTCTATCCACATTGGGTAGCGGCACACCATACGCTCCCTCATTGCACTAGGATGACATTATTCACCGCAATGACGAGTCAGAACCTCCGCCGACTTTGTGCATCACACAATGGTTCTGTATTCATGCAGTCTTTGTTCTCCATATCATCCAATGATATCCACGATTCCGTATAATTCATTCCACATGGGCAGGTAATAGGTGATAATCAAGACCGCACGCGAATATCACTGCGACTTGCGTAGCTTCATTGAAAAAAGTGCGACCTCTATCATTTCACCTGGGTGCTAACGCCGCCGACCAGTCGAGCAGTCTGTCGCTGCACCTGTCACAGTCACCACCAGTTACCTGGTGACAGGGACAGAGTGCCGTCACCTGTCACAACCTATCGCCACGGTGACAGAGAAAGTGTGTGAAAATTACTGCAGAGATGTAATGGTGATACACCAGTGATGTAGGTAGGCACTCTGGCATCCACTGGGCGGACCGCTCCCTCAGCAGAGCGGCTGGACCGTCCGGTCCGTGGGCCGTATAGAGGTCAGCGGGATTCCTGCAACTGCGGGACCGCTGTCCTTGGGCGCCCCGCTGCTCTGCCGCTCCCTCCCTCCGACCCTCTCCCCGCTCCCTCCGACCCTCTCCCCGCTCCCTCCGACCCTCTCCCCGGCACCGAGAGAGCCAGCCAGCGGCCAGCTCATCACAATACCTAACCAGGCAGCGGGGCGACTTCTTGCAGACGCGTGACTGAATCTGCTTGCCGAGCTGGCTGGGACAGCCTACTTTTCTTGGCGAGCAGTCGCGGCGATACTTTTGTTCAAAATCATCACTCTAATTAAACGTTTTATGCTCAGGCATTAGAGCGAGGATGGCCCGTAACGGTATGCAGCGGGAAGACTGACGATGTCACATGCATGATGTAAATTCCGTTAAATTACTTTTCACTGATGCGCGACATGCTATGATATCTAAGGAAAAGTCTAGCGTTATCTTCCCTGCACGCGGAAATCGTCTCGAATAGCGGAACACCATTGTGCTGTGCGCACTGCAGCGGCATGTGACCGGTCGGAGGAGACGGGGAGTGCGATGGCCACTGATCGTAGGCCGTGACCCTCGACGGTGACCTCTGCTCGCGTGGATGGCCATCTCTAGACCATCGACAGGAGAGGGTCCGCACGGCCGAGCGGCCAGGAAAGTCGGCGGCGGAAAACGGGCACGGTTTGCGTGTCTGGGACGCTCGGTGCGGACCATCGGAACATTCAGAGCTAGTTCGAGCGGTGTTGTCCGCCGTTTGCACCGTCAACCGCAGCGAGACTTGTGACATTAGCCAGTGGTGACCTGTGGAACGCTGCACTAGCCACCCACCCACCAATGGCAATGCACCACCATATGCCAAAGTCGGGACGCAGAATGGACCCTCCGTTGCGAGTGCGTTCGGGCAGAACGGTCCCCACCGATGAATCCTGACGGGACGGGCTGAATGGGGACCGCTCGGCGGCGAGAGCAGAGCACAGACGCGTGAGGTGTGTCCGGTGCGCGCGCGAGAGAGAGCCGCCGGGTTCAAACGGTGCCGCAGTGCGGCCGTTAGGCGGCCTCGAACCGGCCCGCTCCGACGCGTGTCTGACTCAGGCCCGGCGGCCGCGTGGGACGGAGAGAGATGTGCTAGCCGACTCCGGACGAGCCAGGTGAGTCAGAACGGCCCACTCCGACTCAGGCGGATGGAGGAGGTGAGTCGGAGCGACCTACTCAGTTACGGGGAGACATGAGTCAGACCGTCCGACTCACACGTGTGTCGAATCACTTCAGTCGTCTACCTCAACTGATTAGACGCTGGTAAGTGGTATAACATAAAATATGCGCACAAGAATTTAAGAAACTTTAACCTTATATCAATACCTTATAAGACGTGTTGACCATTAAAATTGTGTTCATGAAATTGGGTGTGAACTTGGTACTCCTCCCAACGACTGTCCTTGAATAGGCCTCACTTTGCAGTGGCTAAACCTAAAAGGAGCTCTGTCTATCGTCCAGGGAAGGCAAGTGATTAGGCGGTAGCTACCGGCAGCGGGAGGGGCCTCGGCGTGCTCGGGCCCGGACTTAAAGGGCGGTTACCGTGCCGATTCCCATCAGCCGTGACGCAGGGAGGAGCGGTCATCACGCCAGGTGGTGACGGCCGTCCGGTCGGTCCGGTCCTGCACGACCCACCCGGCGACAGGGTTGGACGGCGGCCAGTCGAGCTCGGTAGGCCACAGAAAGCTGGATACATAATCTTTTGGAATAACTAATTACGTAAAATCATATCACGTAGGGACACACTTCTGAATGTAGCGTTCTACTTAGTTCGGTGCTACAAATACTGAAGCAAGCATGATTCACGTTCGCTCGTAAAACTTATATAGCTGGACCATTGTTTTGAATCGTAAAAATGTGCCACACTTGCATGTATGTGTTTCACGTACGATGCAGACCTGGTGCCGACAAAGGGCCCAGCACCCTGCCAGTGACGTGGGTCTGGATGAGTGCTGTCTGGTCACTTCTGCACGGAAAACAGCGCCAGGAAAAGGCACGACAGGCGGGATTACGGTGATGGGCTGTTTACGTCAGGTTAAGCGCGCTTTCTCCACTTGAGCTCGTACATTGCAGCTTATAATAGCGTCATGCTTAGTCCTTTTATGTGAATTTACACGTAATCGTACATAAGTTCAGTTTATACGACTCGAGTTCCGAAGGGCAAAGCATGCGGTAAAAGGCAAGCAGGAGGAATAAAAGCGTGCTAATAAGCATGCCTAAAGCGAAATTTAAAGACACTATCGCCCGTCCAATGCTGAAACACGTTTTATGTTTAGCATTTGCCTCCACTCGTGCCAAACTTCTCCCCTCATGTCCGCTACGTTGGGCGTGAGGGAGACTGCGTGTCTGATCGGACTCCCCTCCTGGCGGACGGCCCGCATGGTCTGCCTCCCTCCCTCCCAACACCTGGCCTCTCCCCCTCTCACCTTCCAGAGCTCCTGCGACCGCCACCGTCACCAGCACCAGCCCCCAGACCACCAGTGGTGCTCTCCTGCTGAGTTCCATCGCCAGTCGCTCGCTCACACCAGTCTGTGCACCACACCAAACCACCGTCCGCCGTCTGCCACCAGCTCCGCACTGCCGTCACGAGCGGCACCGGTCCGCCGCCGCCGCCGTCACCGGGCCCACTGCCGCCGTCACAGGGCCCACTGCCGCCGCCGCCGCCACCGCTGCCCCCGTCGCCACCGCTGCCGCCGCCGGACGGGGCTGCCGCGCCGCCACACGGGCGGATGGGCTGCGGGCGGCGCCGGCGCAACGGGAGGCGCTCGGACGCCGCCGCCGCCACGCCGGTAGCCTGCGTGGCAGCCGGTTTCTGGGGGTGCGAGAGATGCTGGATGATATTACAGGACGGTGGTGAGGAAAGGATGGACAGTGGCTGCTGTGTTTACAACACTGAGAAGAATAACTCAAGAATGGCAGAGATATGTTGGGCCATAAGCGGGTACGGGTACCTGGGTTTATTTTGGGTGCGTTTGTGCATAACAGTAAGCAGCTATCCTCAATATTCTCTTTACTATGCATCCCTGAAATGCCAAAAATCTCTAGAAAAAAAAAAACGGATAAGACATTTAATGTTCTGTAGCAAAATCCTTCATTCCAAATCGCGTTAGTCTTATTAATTCAGCGTTTCAATCATGGTGTTCGTAGCCGGATCAAGTCATTTGCTGTGAGTTGGAGAACTGAGCACCTGGGCAAGAATCAATGAGCAAGATAAGAACCTAGCAAGAAAACCACCAAATGTTGCCTAAGACCGCGATCCTTGCCGATTAGGCAAAGTTTTTGCCGCCTTTAATGCCGAGTGTCGTAAATTGGCGAGACGTGATACAATTGCAAAACAGCGAGCAATGCGGACAGCTCAATAAGCGCTGCCGTACTTTGACGTGTTGCGAAAGTCCGGAGTTGACCTCGCGTAACTAGAGGTTCTCACTAGTATTTTATATGGTGCGTATAATGTATTGCACTCGCCGCGGTCGCCCCTCCCACCCTCCACCACCATACAGCCGGTACGCCGGAAATACCACGGCGCCTGACTGCGCGCTGGCACGGCGACTGGCGTTCATATGTCCCTCACTTCTACCCACATCTCCCCCTCCCTTTCCCCGCTGTTCTTTTGTCGTGTCTGGGATTCCCGCGGAGTCAGACTGTCAGTCTCGCAGTAGGGGAGAGTGGGGCAATGGCGGACGGTGGGTAATGCCGGCCACCCATCTCTAGTGAGTACTTTGTCCATTACTGATCAGCTGATGTTGTTTACATTTCAGTTGAGCGCCATTCTAGCACGTGGTGCAAATTTGTCACCGTAGCTCCATTATTTTCATTTTTAAAGCGTTAAATGTGTTTTTCGTATCTGATTTTTAATTTTTGTTGCATCTATTTGCTGACTGTGAAATGTGTTAACGCATTTTCAGAAGTGCTGCTTTGCAATGACCTTCAATTAAGCCTTTCTTAGGCGACTGCTGGATGTGAGGCGTTTGCGGCGCAATGCCTTTGACTGCTGCCTGCTTTCTTAAAATAAAGCTGACCTCGGGGTAATACCGGACACGTGTCCGGAATGACTCCACGCGGTTTTGTTTGCGACTTCTGTCGTTAAAGCTCAACGTTTCGAGTTGCTGTGTTTACGGCTGTGTTAGTTTGCTTGCTGTGTTTACGGTTGTGTTAGTTTGCTGCTCTGTTGGCGCCGCGCTGTTGTGTTGCAGCGAGTGCAGTGTTGTGTTGCAGTGCAGTGTACTGCTAACTGCTGAATACAGTTGTCGTTTCTTAATTCTCACTTAAATTTCCATCGAAAGAACGGTTTAAGGATGAATACCAGTGACGATATTTCGACTTTTGTGCTATTGCACTTAGTGGCCGGCATTACCCCTCGCTTTTTTGCACCCCCATTTTTCAACACATTTTCGCGTAGGCTCTGAATCTGTCATCAGTGATCTGAGATACTAAAACTGGGTGCTATCTGGAAGCCTATTCCTTTGGCTACAACCACAGTCAAAATCACCATAAAATAGCTTCAAATAGCTAAGCTATTGAGCAAAATGCTTATGGTGTCGCCATTGCCCCACTCTCCCCTATATCATCAGACACCGGGGATATAAAGCCTTACATCGGGGATCGTATGGTGACGGGACTGCGGTGTGACACTGCCCGGACATCTGGCAGCTGTGCCGACAGATTGTAGACGGACAGACGGACGGACATACGGACCTAAAATGAAAGGATGGAATATGGATGGACCGACGGATAGACTGATGGACCTAAAATGGTAGGATGGAATATGGATGGACCGACGGATAGACTGATGGAAAGACGGATGGACGGAAGGTACGATTAGATGGCTGGGATGGCGAAACCTAGGATTATGGGTGGAAGGACTCATGGACAGATGAACGGACGGATTGACGGGCTGAAGAAGGACCACTAGCAGTCGGCCGTATGGACGGACGGAGGGACCGAGGTGCTGACGGAAGGACGGACCGAGGTGTTGACGGAAGGGCGTACAGAGGGCGGTGCGACTCCCCACCACGACTGACCATCGCGTGTCGCGCGCCGTCCGGCCCATGTACGGCCGTTCGCGGACAATGGACAAACAGAAAAACAGCGACCGGCTTTCACGGAGCAGGGGCGGACCCGATCGCACGGAATATGCTTGTTCCACGGCTGTGGCAGGCACTGCAATCATTACTCATCGCAGTAGCTGCGGCCTGATGTGATAGGCAAACACAGCGCGGCTACGTCCGGTATCCCTAAATGTACGGAGGTTGACGTCATTTGGCCAGCTGGCAGCTCCGTGAACGTCTTGATCAGCCGATAACAACAGACATACACGGGAGGATGGCGGCAAGCAGCGACGTCCCTTCGTGTACCGGACTCAACCGTCGGCCACAGGCCACGGGCGATGCATGACCACCAACCGGCCGCCGCGCTGTAGTCACTTTTGGTGCTCGGGCTATCTTCCTATGCGAAGATGCAGTCTCCATTTATTGGTGCTACTTTTTCCTGTGCTAGCTTGCAGTCTCCGCGCATAAACCGCTTTGCGGCCGCGGCAGCCACGCTTAGCTGTTCTATTTAGCTTTCTAGCAATTTTATTCGATGCTTATGAGCAGCTTTGGGCTTCTTGGGGCGCCGGGACTTGAATTTTTTTACCTGGCGTCCACAATGCTCTCCTTTGCAGAGACAACTTTGCTGCGGCTGAACTGGCGTACCTATTACTCTCTGTTCCGCTAATGCAATGATGTATCCGATTGTCTCTTGAAGACTGGTGGATGGGCTTCGTCCGTGAAGCTGCACAAATAAAAAATCTGATTTTAGTCGGGCGGCTGCTGCTTCCGATTGCTGACTCGACTACTGCCCCACCCCAGGGTACATTGAGTGGTATATTGAGTGGCCCACCCCACCCTTCCATACATGCCAATATAGTGCCATTCTGTGAATACGAGCGTTCCAAACACTGCCTGTGAACCTCAGTCGGCTGTCGATGCGTGTTCAACATGCAGATCGATGATAATCAGACTTTGACGCACACGTCAATACCTTTATTGAGAAAGATAAGACCCGGTTCATGTCCCTTTCACAATGTGCGCTGCAAGATCCCCTCGATAAAAAATAACAAACACAGCGCAACACAGTCCGTCGCACGGATTTCTCGTTATCAAGTATGGTTTTTACATTTTCGAAGCTCCTGGCGACACGTTGGCCCATTTCCACCAGAAGTAGCACTTGCTATGGCGTGTTCATTTTTTCGTCACTGTCGATGGTGTCAGTAGCCTTCGCATTTCACACCAGTGATATCGGCACCCAACGGATCGTATCAAACCCGTGTTTGTCACGCCTCTGAACGACAGCGGTTCACGAGGCCAGTGGGTTATTCCGGGTGATGTATCGACAGATATAGCCGGTCCTCAGGGGACGGCTAGTCGGTAGTCAGATACGGCGTCTCCGTTCGACGCAGGATGGTATAACACACAAGGCGGGCGATGGAAGTACCCGTCTCGCCGCGGCCAGCCGGGCCCGGCCCGGTCTCAACACTCGGCTGAGTGCGGCATGACCTTGTATTAGCGCGCGGCACAGGCGCCCACACCCTCCATCCGCGCTGCTAAAAGGCATCGGCAAGGCGCCCGCGCACGACACACGATAAAAATATCGCTCTGTTTCGATTGTGGCAACAGCTGCGGGGGCCGGTCGGCGTCGACCGTCCGTTTGTCTGTGGGCGGAACGGGCGACCGGCCTCCGTCCCGCCAGCCCACCCGGGCGGCCACACAGCTCCGCCAGCAGTCCCGTCATCACAGGCACCATTTCAACGGCGATTTTAGACCGATACCGGGATATGTCGCTCTAAAAACCGTCACATTTCAACAAAAGAGCCACAAACACCACCGTTAACCAGTTGCGGAGCGACTCCGCTCCGCCGCACGGTCCCAGCCGATCCGGCGGCACGCACGGCCGCCGCTACAACCTCTGGCACTCTCACGCACACACACCCGGCCGGCTGGCGATCAGTCACCGTTCATGAGCTCGTCCTCGTCCTCATCACCACTGTCCTCGTCCTCCTCGTCCTCCTCGAGGTCCTCGGCGTCCTCGGCCTCCTCAGAGCCGTCCTCATCCTGGCGGAGGGACATGGAGCAGTCAGTTACCGCTCTTCCGGGCGTTGCCGCTTCATTTCACTTCAACCCACAGAAGCGATGGCAAACAGCATAATATAAATAAACAAGACACAGAAACTAAAATAAATATAGCACATATCGACCAACCAGTTTGACTTCTTGGTAAAGATGATTTCTGGTAACAGGTTGTGAATGTCTGGTCCTGAGGCCTGCTGAAAAAGTTATACTGTTGTGCTGCTTCGTGCTTCAAAATGCTTGATCAATCAGCCAATTTTTGGCTTGGAAATCATGAGAGGAAGGAGTGGCAAAACGCGTTGATTCGTGGTAGGGAAACGTGGATCCTTCGCCAGTGACAGGATCTCATCCCATCGAAAACTGCGTGGACGGACCCCGTCAAAAGGCATAGATTCGTGATCGGAGGCCTTATGTCTATCCGTGGTCAAAGACTGAATCCTCGGTAAGGCGTAAATGCTCGGTCAGATAGTGTCCCCGGTCTCTGCCCCTCTAGCACCGCTCACCTCCATCGCCTGGTCCTCCATCTCGGGGTCATCCGACATGTCCGAGACGTCGTCAGGTGACGGCGGCGG